ATAGCTTCCCCACCCCATTCAAGATTACTTTAGGCACCGCTTCCTTTACCAATTTCTTCTCCTTTCACTAAGGTACTTCTCACTTTTTTTCATAAACTGCTTATTTTGATCAACCGATTTGGCTTCCTCCAAGGGTCACAGATTGTCTCTGTCTCATCTGTGGCATCAAGCACAAAGCTGATGTGTGGCAGGCTCTCGGGGACCTCAATGAGAGAAAAAGAAAAGCAATTAATTACAATGCTGAGGATCATCGAGGAATTCGCAGGGAGATTGCTTGATATGAAAACAAGATTTCAAATATATTCCAGTTGATGAGTATCTCACACATTTTACCACTTGACTTACTTGAATTCTAAGTTTTATCTGTAGTTATGTGTCTTTCAACTAACTCTGTACCGTCCACACCTCAAAGGTATTTATGGAAATCCATAGCTGAAGCGTACAACTGTGGCTAGGAGTTGTCCATCAGAAATATCAAATGACAAAAAGGATCGGGAGTGACATTACTGTCTTCACAGATGGTACAGTCTAATCGCTAATGCCATTTTGAAGGGAATAAAACCACTCTTTGAAGGTTTGGATGGTTTTCAGGAAAACAATGAAATCAGTATTTTTATATTGACCTGGAAGAATTTGAAAGTTCCCAAAAGAGGGAGAAGATGGGCAGGGGACACCAAAAGCAGGGGTGAAGGAAAAAGTCAGAGCATGTCAAGAAAGAGGAAGAGGTCCCATACAACCAGGCTGCAAGTGCCAGCTCAGGAGACGGGACTTTAGTTTGTACCTATAGTACTGGCACAGAATGCTAAGGGATAAAAAATAAAACTTTTGGAGATTAACTCAGTCATAATTTCAGGGAAACTAATCCGGAGGATACTAAAGGATATTCAATTGAGAAGTAATAAATTTAAAAATCATAAAAACACATTAGGAAATATAAAGCAGCTAATTTTTTCTCATTGTTCTCAGTGCTCAGATTTTGTGAGTGTGTGTAACCAGAAAGTAACAGAACAATTTCAGAAATTAAAAAAAAAAAAAAGAGTTCAAGAGGCCCTCAGGACCACTGTAGCTCAGAGGGGGCTGCTTCCCATATCCAAGGAAAATGGAAGTCTACGATTTCACTTTTTCTTGTTGGTGTTATTGTTCTATTCCTTATGATGATGGGAGTGGGAATTCATAAGTCTCAGATGTAACATGTCATTAAGTTTGATTTTATGTGGCTCCAACCTCTAAGGTCTGGAACTCTTGGTCAGGATCAGAGGAAATGGAAATGGTGAAAGGGTGAGGAGGAATGACACCAAGTGCTGACAGGAGATTCCATAAAGTAAATATGAAGCTGACAGACAGGTTGTAGGAGAAGGCCTGGTGGTCACCCTGGAGGTGCAGGGAGCCCCAGTTTCGTCAGAGTACAAAGAAATGACTATCACTAAATAGACTGACAGGAAAATTAAGTCTTATTTATAATGACTGATGGAATCCTCCACCATGTAGGCATTTTTCGGGTAAATGAGTCCTCACAAAGCTACTTGGTGCACACGGCCTCACAGCAAAGAAATGCTTCATCTGTTTCAAGTAAAGACTAAGTTGACATCCCTATGTGACATTTAAGTTGTCTCTTCTTACTACAACATTCAAGTCCACCATTTTGTTTTTCTTCTCAGAATAGAAGTTTTCACCAGAACTTGTCCCTTATTTCTTTAATTACCTTTGTCACACACTAGTTTTGGGGTCCCCAAATGCTTCTCCTGTCGTGGAACACCAGTGGAGCTTGTTGAAATTAGAGCCAGGAGCCTCGCCCTCTGAGAGTCTGACTCAGTACAACCAAAGAAAGGCTGCAGAACCCACAGCACTGACAAACACCCTGATCCCCAGGGGGTCAGGGAGGCCTGAACGACTTTGCCCCAGTGTGACTCAGCAGGCAGGTAAGACTACCCACCACCACACCTACTTCAGCACATGTGGCTCTGCAGGTGCATTTTGTTTACTATTCTGCTAAAGATTTGTTTGAGCACTGATTTTTCAGTTCCTTGACAACAATTGGTGAATTGTTTACCTAAGATAAACTTGACTTTTTGATGAACCCTGTTTATCTTCAAGATCAAAAAATATTTGTTTCAAAGCCCCCCATTAAATCATAACCACACATATTCATTCCGCTATTACTTATTGATCATCACCTAGGTGCCTAACCCTGTGCTAAGTATGATAGAGGACAAGAATGATAAAATCCGTGAAGTTATATTGTGGTACCATGGAAACAGACAGAAAAAAATGAAATATGTAAAATCACTTCACAGTGTGATTAGTGCTGTGAGAAAAATCAGCAGGGTCCTCTGGCAGAGAATCTTGGGGACTGTGGATTAGACAAGGTGGACAGTGAAAGCCTTCCCAGCTAAAGGATGAGAAAAAAAATGTGCTAGCTACTCATAGCCTCCTTGATGGTGTAGTGAAGGTAGTCAGAGTATATTGCAAAACAGGAAATAACAGTGAGCTGGAAGGTGAGGCAACAGTGGAATGAGAGCTGGTGAAATAAGCACTGTCCATACAGAGCAAAGTGGAAAGCTCTTCTGCTAAAGGACAAGTGGCCAGAGAAGAGAGTTCATTAGATGTCAGTCACAGGATATAGTAACAAGAGCCCAGATGAAGAGCCCAAGGCTGATTTAGAAGGCAGAGTCTTCAGTACATGGAGAAAAGGGACCAGTGCTAAAGAGGCAGCAAGGAGACCAACAGAGGACATGGGTATCTCACAGAAGCAGCGGGCTTGCTGGGAAATGTCCCAAAAGCAGAGAGGACTGCAAAGAAATAGCTCCCTACCCTCTAGCCTCGGGACAAGTACTTCCAGAAAGTGAGATTTCATCTACTTGAAAAAGTGCAGCAGGGGATGCAGAGTAGGATGAGGGTCATTTGGAGGAAGTCCAAATGGGAAACAAACATTCCAGAAGTCTCCAGACATTAAAGGACATTTGATGACTAGAGAGTAGAAGGTCCACATGGCACAGCCAGAAGACTAATTGTGTTTTGTTTCTGTTTGTTGAGCGGAAGAAAGAACTGATTAGGGGTATGTGCAGAGACACATACATTATAATGGCGAGCATAGTGGGTAACTTGGGAAATCTTGAAATTTGCTAGGTCACTGGGATAAAATAGCATCACTATGACTATTAAAACAGCAATAGTACTAGTTGTCATGCAAAATGGTAACAGAAGTAGAAATAGCACAGCAGTTTCATTTCAGGCCTTTATACTGTGCTAAGTACCCCTGCAATACCTACCCATGACCCTATAACTTTTTTTTTTTTTTTTTTTTGGCGGAACCGGGGATTGAACTCAGGCCCTTGAGCTGTCAGGCAAGTGCTTATTCTACTGAGCTAGCTCCCTGGCCCAGACACTATGATGTTTCAAACTTATGATCAAGTTGTATATTATTGGTGACAACTTTATAGAGTATAAAGCATTGATAAGAACAAAGAAGGAGCAAGGACTTTAACATGATAGAGGTCCCCACAGAAGACAGCAAACAAACGGTTTCAAAGTTAAGAACTCAGATAGATGACTCAGGGCTGGGGAGATAGCTCAGTGGCATAAGCACCTGGTAAGCACAAGGTCCTGAGTTCCATCCCCAGTACTACCAAAAAAAAAAAAAAACCAGATATATGATTCAATAGTATAAATGATCAGAAGGAGCTCTTTTATAGGATGATACAAGTTGCTAAATGGTATTAGGGGTCATTCACAGGATCTTCTTGCCTTAGAAAGAACCAGCCCTAAATCTCAGCTCAAGAGTGGCTCCATCCATAGGTTTATTCCTGTGAATTTTTTTTAGTTAGCTAGAAAATTCCAGCAGCCTTGAACACTTGATGCCATTAAGTCATTCATTCAATAAACTGCAAGAGCAACTATAGAACACTCTCAACACGGGAGATATAAATTGTAGATGTAGAACTTTGCTCACCACACCTCTACCCTGAGGCTGCTGGCACCATATGTTACCCTCAGCATTTATCATTTATTTGTTTACTTTTCCAGTAACATGCACAAAACACTGTACATTGCTTTCCAGTCCTGTCTTCTCTGCAAGTGTGCTAAGTTTAAATGAGATCATCTTTCAAAGGCTTCTTATTTACCCAGAGTAAAAGATAAACATTTTGTCAAACAAGTTTTGTTCCTGTCAGAGAATATGACACTGCAAGTCCCCACCCATGCCGCTCTTCATTCAACCACAAGAGCTGTAAGAAGAACAGATGCAGTCAAACGAAGAGTACCTGTGAAGGGGGCTGACTCATCCTACAATCAAGAGCACTGAAATCTTTCTACTATTGGTGGGGTTTTACACAGCAGAACATCAACTAGACTTACATTAGGCTCCTTCATTATTCTTCTCTTAGGAAATAAGGAAGGCCTTATGCAGGCATGAAATTATATAACATTGTGTCTGTACTTCCTAAACTATTGTGATAAATGACTTTAGAAAAGCAAAACATTTTTCAAGGGGGGAAATATATCACTTTTTGCAAATGCTTAGAAACTGAACTGATCATCAGGATTCTATAATTAGCCTTACTACAATTTTCAAGTTGTAATTCATGACTTTGAACTATTCCGCACAGAAAATTGCCCACCAGAACAAGAACCATTTAAGTCCAACTACATCTCTTATACACTTGGGCACACTAACTAAATCAGTGCTTGAAGTAACACCTTCCCTAATACCTCAAGAATCACTGACACACAGAATTGGTTGCATTCAATCACACTGCAGTCAATGTCAGGGTGAAAATCCAGGGCTCTTTGCTCTCCATCCTGTGGATACCAGATTTGGTTTTCCATTGTGTTCTGTGAAGATGCAAAATGATACTCAACATGCCTTGCTAAACTGTTTCTGGCAGCCTATACAAAATATGGTATCTCTCAGTAGTATTTTTAAACAAGTATGCTAAGTTTCTTATCTACTATACCGACATTTATGAATGTGTTTCCAACATTTCTCCTTTCTATTTTAACAGAACTCTAAGTTTCACGTGCCTGAGTTTCTGAAGGAGAAAAAGGAAAATATCCTCAACTCCCAGAGACCTTCTATGGACTTAACAAAGATCAGCATTTCACAAGCAGAGGATCAAGCCTTGCCTGAGATCACAGGGTCGTCAACAAGTAAACTGGATGAAAAACATCAAGGAACTAAGATTCTTTCAATGCACTCCAGTGAAATAGATTGGCCATTGGACATTCGACCTTTAAACAAAAGTTTAGTCAAAGACAACAAATGGAAAAGCACTGATGAAACCCAAGAGAAACGCAGGTCCTTCCTTCAGGACTTTTGCAGGAAATATGGCACAGTGAGCCATCGTCAATCACATCTTTTTCATATGGTGTCCAGGATCTACGTAGAAGACAAACACAAAATCTTATACTGTGAGGTGCCGAAAGCTGGGTGTTCCAACTGGAAAAGGATTCTGATGGTACTAAACGGGTTGGCTTCCTCTGCATACAACATCTCCCACGATGCTGTCCACTATGGGAAGCACTTGAAAAAGCTAGATAGCTTTGACTTCAAAGGGATATATACTCGCCTAAACACCTACACCAAAGCTGTGTTTGTTCGTGATCCCATGGAAAGATTAGTGTCAGCATTTCGGGATAAATTTGAACACCCTAATAGTTATTACCACCCAGTATTTGGGAAAGCAATTATAAAGAAATATCGACCAAACGCCTGTGAAGAAGCATTAAATAATGGATCTGGAGTCAAGTTCAAAGAGTTCATCCACTATTTGCTGGATTCTCACCGTCCTGTTGGAATGGACATTCACTGGGAAAAAGTCAGCAAGCTCTGCTATCCATGTTTGATTAACTATGATTTTGTAGGGAAATTTGAAACTTTGGAAGAGGATGCCAATTACTTTCTACAAATGGTTGGTGCTCCAAAAGAGCTGAAATTCCCCAACTTTAAAGATAGGCACTCTTCTGACAAAAGAACCAATGCTCAAGTGGTTAGACAGTATTTAAAGGATCTGAGTAGAACCGAGAGACAGCTAATCTATGACTTTTATTACTTGGACTATTTGATGTTCAATTATACAACTCAGTTTTTGTAGCCTGCATTCATTTTCTAAAACATGTATTTACTTACCAATGATGGCCTCAAATCAGCTACTGTACTTTTCCTATAATTCTCTGTATGAGGGAAATTTAACTAAGTGCAGTTGTCTTGATTTAATGGCGATTTTTACCAAATACCATGACAGCAATTGGCAGAGAGCTCCAGGAAAATCACCTAACGGACACATGTAAACAACTTGAGTTGCTTTTAAATGTTTGGAAAGGAGATGCTTTGGCATTTTGGATCATATTGTTGAAGCAATAACCTAGCCAGCTGCTACATTAACTAAAACAGCCTCTTGCAATCATAGAATAAGAGGTCTAAAAGAGCATGAATGTGTATCTATACTCTGGAATTAATTATCTAAAATGCATGGATATATTTTTAGCAGTTTATGGAACATTCATCAAACCATTGGACAGTTTACTTACACCCTGGAAGTCTTTGTAGTGACTATAATGATAAATTCATTTTGAAATGATATTTGGAATTGGGCATTCTACATTAAGTTGGAAGGCACTGTATGATTTACAATATGGCAGTGTAGCAGAAAAGCTAGAAGAGGCTATGACTTTTTATATTTAACAGCCAATAAAAATGCACAGCATGCTAAGATCAAAGCAACAAAAGCAACCTTTTTCTGTCAGAAAACCTTCAAGGAATTGATTGTGTTTTCTTTTGAGCCCTCCATGAAGAGACCAAATGAAGACAAGCACCGAAGTTCTTCATTTCTGAAGCAGGCAGTTGAGAGGTTTAGGCCTCCTAAATGTGCTCCTAATTCCAGTTTAATTGGACAGAGGGGAAATTGTTTCAGGATGGAATCATCATCAAAAACAAAAGTTGCCATTCTGAATATAGACCTCGAACAATAACAGAGTTTTATAAGAAAATTATTTGAATCAAAGCATAATATGCATAGCTTTATATGTGGGATACACTCTAAGAATAGCTTTGTTTGCAGCCTAATTATTCAGCTTGGGAATGACTTTTTAAAAACTAATATACCACTTCAAAGATAGGTTATGTTCTAGAGAATAAACATAACAAGAGCCCCTAGAAATGTTTTTAATAGGCTTATGCATAAGCAAATTAAGGTATTTTCTTTTTAAGTTTAAGTATTCTATACTAACAAAGTCAACATCATTGCATTCAAATACTAAATCAATCTTTGGAAAATGAGACCATGTGTCACTCCATAAAAAAGTATAATGCAGTTTGGAAATTTTTTCTATGGGATCCTAAACTGTAAGACACATTTAGATGGGAAATTTATTTTAATTGCTCAACAATTACCCTAGCTTAGTAAACCACATGTCAGTCAAATCTGATTTAAATGCCTTTCTTGAACATTTTCCTTTTGCTTCTGTCACATTTTTATCTGTAACTGTTCAATAATAAGTCTCAAAGAAAAGTAGGTATTAATATTTGCATATTAATATACCACAACTTTGATAGTCCTAATTATTTCACTTTGATTTTGCATTTCATGGCTGAGTATTTATGAAGTGTTTCACTCTACACATACCTGCTGGTCTCGCCTGTGCTGCCCTGCAGTGAAGAGACTACAAAGGGCTCGGCCATTCCAAGTCCTAGCCCTTGTAAACCAACTCTTTACTACACTTCATTCCATTCACTTCTGCCCCTAGACCACACATCTAAGTTATATTTTACTCCAAATGATTTATATAAATGATTTTCCATGTTATGTGAAATGGAGTCCTAGAAACTTTAGAGACAGTGAGTTATCTTTTTATGAAGAGAGAATATAAAATAACTCATGAAACCTGTCATTTTATTCCTAAACACAACGCTGGTTTCAGGTAGAATCTGCTACAGAGAGTAAGAAAAGTTTTATCAAAGGTATTCCTAAAGTCATGAAGAATAAAACAAAGAATAAACCTTCCTTTTCATACCTTTTGAAAGAAAAACACCATGGAAACAAAGTTCTCTCTCTCTCTCTCTCTCTCTCTCTCTCTCTCTCTCTCTCTCTCTCTCTCTCCTGATTTTTTATACATTAGGGAGGGTGGGATAGAGACTACATAGATGACAGGTAAATAGATAGATGATAGATAGATAGATAGATAGATAGATGATAGATAGACAGATGATAGATAGATAGATAGATAGATAGATAGATAGATAGATAGACAGACAGACAGACAGACAGACAGACAGACAGACAGACAGACAGACGGTCAGATGTATGGACAGACAGACAGACAGATACATAGATGATTTTAACAAGGGAGGAGCAAAAGAAAAAGTCATACCAAATGCTTCCTCTTTGATAGCTATTCTATACCTTTTAGTGTCTCCTTATCTGGGGTTTTGCTTTCCACAGTTTCTGTTACATATGGTAAACCATGTCTGAAAATATTAAATGGAAAAATTTAGAAATAAATAACTAATAATTTTTCAATTGGGAACAGCCCTGAACAAGAAAATCTCTCACTTACACAATCCACCTCACCCGAAACATGAATCACCCCTCTGTACAACGTGGCCATGCTGTATATGCTGCCTGCCCACTGGTCACTTAGTAGTCACTCAAGCTACCAGGTTGATTGTCACAGTAACCCAGTGCTTCTGTTTAAGTAACCTTTCTGTAGTAGCCTCAGGTTACATCACAGTGCCTATGTACCTGACCTCGTGTAAGCACTGTGTCACCTCATATCCCTAGTGAGTACAGCACCATGAGATACTTTGAAAGAGAGACCACATTCACATAATCCTTACTATGTTTTGTTGTAATTATTGCATTTTATTATTAGTTATTATTGTGAATTTGTTACAGTGCCCATTTTATAAACTTTATCATAGGTATGTATGTGAAGGAAAAAACGGTCTATAGTTAGGCATCACCCATGGTTTCTGCCATCTGTGGTGAAACTTACAACAGATCTCCTAAAATGAGATGACAATCTTTATGTTTCTTTTCTGAACCTTTCAGTTTACCCTATGTCATTCTGGATAGCCGTTCATGCATCCTTTTCCTAAACAAGCCCTTGGAAGCTGACTGATATCCTGCTTGTGGGTTTCAGAGAGTAGGTGTGTCTTGTCCAGAGAGTAGCTGTGTCTTGCCAACTAAGAACAAACTGTTTGCATGCTTGCTCTTCACTTTAGATGACTTATTTTATATTGCTCCCAAGACACCAATCATCATCTTAGATTTCTGGCAATTTGAAATGCCCCGCATTGTTCTGCTTTGTAGCCAGTTCATGCCTGCCCATGTAGACACGTGGCTGGGAGAATCACCATTCTCTGGACGGTCACATTTCATGAACTCAGTTTCTAAAGGCAACAGACCAAATCCAGCCTCATCGTACAGATGTTCAGTGCTCCCATTTTAGTATTAGCATGCTTTAGGTGTGATTATACATCCTCTAATCAAATCTGAAGGATCCTACTTGTTTTTCTAGGCAGCAGGAACACTGTGGGCAGGTCCTTTGTTTTGTTGTTTCCCTGACTGGAATTACCATTAAGGTAACAATTTCCCACTTAAATCTGGAACCACGGTCATTTTGCTCTAGGCAGGTGAATTAGATAGAAATATTGTAGGCAGTCAGATAGGGCCAGGCCCTCAAGGAGACAAGATGGAAGAAAAGGTGACTTTATAACTTGGAAGAAACAAAATATGGGCCACACCTCAAGACCAAGACAAGAGAAAACACAGCTACATACTTCCCTAGGGATGGGCATCAGGGATTGACATTCTAAATAGGTATCAATCACCTTGAAGGAGCCCAAATGAGTCACTGGCCCAACCTCCCAACAGGAAGAGACCCTGTCCCATATCCATTCCCACTTGCTGTGTGACTCGCTTCCTCATTTGTTACTGGATTTAATCAATTTTACCTGAGCAATGGTTCTTGTAATCTCATTGGTTGACCATAGTTTTGTCCCACCTCTTGCTCATCTAAGTGAGATCCCATGTCTTCTCCACCACTTTAGACCCACCTCACCACATGATTTTTCTCTATAAAATTCCTTGGAAGAGACAGCTTCCTGGGGAATTCCCGTCCAGGCCCCCCTCCAGTCCCTCTCTCAGAGCTTTCTTTCCCTCAATAAATATATTGTGCTCATAACCTCCGTTTGTTCCTAAAATTCATTCTTCAGTTTTAGAGAATATGAACTTATCCCAGACACCTTTTAGGTTGGGAGATCAGTGTCTTTTGGAGGTTTCCCTGTATCAATTTCATCTGGCAAGCGACCTATGGCTATGCATTGCTGATGTGACCGCACCCAGAGACTGCCAGAATTTCCAACTGATGTGTGTGAACAGGAAGACCAATGTTCTCATTTCCTTATGTGTTCGGAAAGCTCTATTAAGTCAGCAGAATTGTGAAAATATGTCCTGTATTCAGTGGCTTTCTAATCTATAAGATATTTTCTAGTCATTCTAGAGCTACTGGGGTTGCCCCTCACAACTGGAAGAAGAAAAGTACTCTTATAACTTATTCATGAATAATTATTCCTTCAAAAGGTATTATCTCCTAAAATATATAGTGTCTTAATCACATTTCTCATCATTAGGACAAAAATACCCAACCCTGGCACTTAGAAGCCAGGTTACTTTTGCTCCATATTTCAGCCTGTGGCCAGGCAGCTCCAAGGGAGGACAGCATGGAAGAGGGGCAGGGTGGAGGAAAAATGGTTTGTGTCACAGTAGTGAAGAAGCAGAGAAAGTCGGGGAGGAGCCAGAGGGGAGAACCTGCTGAGACCTTGCCCACAGTGGCCCACTCTTCCAGGAAGATCATGCTGCCAAACAAGTCCACTGTATACACACCTCCTGATGCAGTCACCTTGCCTGGGAGCACACAAGGCCTCTGGGAACCTTTTGGCTCTCTGCCACACCAGAGGTACAATGTACATAAGCTGGTGCAGACACATTTGAATGTTGAAGTTCCCTTTGGAAAGATCTCCCACTGAGTTAGCAAATTTGGGATTAGCAGGCTGGGACCACAGTAATCATATCCCGGCTGAGAGTTCTCCTTTGGCCTCTTGGGCCTCTTCAACCTCTAGGCTTTCATGAGAGATGGAGAGGCAGAGCCTCTGCCCATGGCTGACACCCACAGAGTGTTCTCACTCACATTTGAAGAATTGCTGGCCAAAGTGTTCCATAATCCCTCATCTACCTGAGAACTTTAGACCAGTTAACCCAGTCTAGTCCTATGTGTAGGGCCATATCTTCTCAACTTCAATCGTAGTCATTTTAATCATAGTCCTAATCATAGTTCATATCTATTCAGCATTTAATGTGTATCAGGTACTCTTTAAGAACTTTATATGCATCAATCTACTTAATATTCATCCCCCATCTAATTAGGATGCTATTACAAGCAGCCCCTCCATTCCCAGATGTAATAAAGGAAGGTAAAATCAAGCATGACTATGTAATTCGCCAAAAGAGACAGAGCTGACAAATATACAAGGAGCAGGATGAAATGAAGTGGAAAATCCACTATCAAACTATTTTCTTATAATGCTATAAATTTGAATATTTACATTTTCTTTCACTTACCAACACTCATAACAGCTAAAGGTAAAAATTGCACAGTGCAGCCTCCATTTTGTATACACACATAAATGTGGATGTAGCTAGCTATTTCCCACAGAGTTAAACT